GCATTCCTATACACTAATGATGAAAAATATGAAAGAGAAATTAAGGAAACACTCCCATTTACCACTGCAACAAAAAGAATAAAATACCTAGGAATAAACCTACCTAAGGAGACAAAAGACCTGTACCCAGAAAACTATAAGACACTGATGAAAGAAATTAAAGATGATACAAACAGATGGAGAGATATACCATGTTCTTGGATTGGAAGAATCACCATTGTGAAAATGACTATACTACCCAAAACAATCTACAGATTCAGTGCAATCCCTATCAAATTACCCATGGCATTTTTCACAGAACTAGAACAAAAAATTTCACAATTTGTGTGGAAACACAAAAGACCCCGAATAGCCAAAGCAATCTTGAGAAAGAAAAACAGAGCTGGAGGAATCAGGCTCCCTGACTTCAGACTATACTACAAAGCTACAGTAATAAAGACAGCATGGTACTGGCACAAAAACAGAAATATAGATCAATGGAACAGGGTAGAAAGCCCAGAGATAAACCCATGCACATATGGACACCTTATTTTTGATAAAGGAGGGAAAAATATACAATGGAGAAAAGACAGCCTCTTCAATAAACAGTGCTGGGAAAACTGGATACCTACATGTAAAAGAATGAAATTTGAACACTCCCTAACACCATACACAAAAGTAAACTCAAAATGGATTAAAGACCTAAATTTAAGGGCAGACACTATCAAACTCTTAGAGGAAAACATAGGCAGAACACCCTATGACATAAATCACAGCAAGATCCTTTTTGACCCACCTCCTAGAGAAATGGAAATAAAAACAAAAGTAAACAAATGGGACCTAATGAAACTTCAAAGCTTTTGCACTGCAAAGGAAACCATAAACAAGATGAAAGACAACCCTCAGAAAGGGAGAAAATATTTGCAAATGAAGGAACTGAGAAAGGATTGATCTCCAAAATATACAAGCAGCTCATTCAGCTGAATATCCAAAAAACAAACAATCCAATCCAGAAATGGGCAGAAGACCTAAATAGATATTTCTCCAAAGCAGATACCAGATTGCCAACAAACACATGAAAAGATGCTCAACATCACTAATCATTAGAGAAATGCAAATCAAAACTACAATGAGGTATCACCTCACACCCGTCAGAGTGGCCATCATCAAAAAATGTGTAAACAATAAATGTTGGAGAGGGTGTGGAGAAAACAGAACACTCTTGCACTGTTGGTGAGAATGTAAATTGATACAGCCACTATGGAGAACAGTATGGAGGTTCCTTAAAAATCTAAAAATAGAACTACAATATGACCCAGCAATCCTACTACTGGGCATATACCCTGAGAAAGCCATAATTCAAAAAAAGTCATGTACCACAATGTTCATTGCAGATCTATTTACAATAGCCAGGACATGGAAGCAACCTAAGTGTCCAGCGACAGATGAACAGATAAAGAAGATGTGGCACATATATACAACGGAATATTACTCAGCCATAAAAAGAAATGAAATTGAGTTATTTGTAGTGAAGTGGATGGACATAGAGTCTGTCATACAGAGTGAAGTAAGTCAGAAAGAGAAAAATAAATACCGTATTCTAACACATATATATGGATTCTAAAAAAACAAAAAAAAAAGGTTCTGAAGAACCTAAGGGCAGGACAGGAATAAAGACGCAGATGTAGAGAATGGACTTGACGACGCAGGGAGGGGGAAGGGTAAGCTGGGACAAAGTGAGAGAGTGCCATGGACATATATACACTACCAAATGTAAAATATATAGCTAGTGGGAAGCAGCCACATAGCACAGGGAGATCAGCTAGGTGCTTTGGGACTACCCAGAGGGGTGGGATAGGGAGGGTGGGAGCGAGACACAAGAGGGAGAGGATATGGGGATATATGTATATGTATAGCTGATTCACTTTGTTATAAAGTAGAAACTAACACACCCTTGTAAAGCAATTATACTCCAATAAAGATGTTAAAATAAATAAATAAAATAAAGAGTAAACAGTGACAACAACAACAAAACAAGTGAGGGACTTCCCTGGTGGTCCAGTGGCTAAGACTCCATGCTCCCAAATGCCGGGGGCCTGGGTTTGATCCCTGGTCAGGGAACTAGATTCCGCATGCTGCAAGTAAAGATCCCGCACGCCGCAACGAAAAGATCCCACGTGCTGCAACTAAGACCCAGTGCAGCCAAATAGATAAATAAATATTAAAAAAAAAAAAAACACAGCAGTTGAGGGGCATTCTCAATAGAGAGGAAAACATGATTAAAGGGATGGAGGTGAGTGGCAGCTTGTTGCCGGCAAGGAACAACCAACAGTCCAGTGTGGCTGGAGCATCCCATTCAAGGCAAAGTAATGAAGAGGTCAGAGATGAGGCTGGGAGCTGGGAAGGCTAACACCCTGCTACAGCTTGTTAGCCTGGTGAACTAGCGTAAGTCTTCGGGGGATGGGGAAACACTGGAATATTCTGAACATTGTAAGAAACATCAGATTTGTGCCTTAGCTACACTACTTTGGGTTAGAGGATAGATTTCAGGGGACCAAGTGGGGAGCAGATTAGAAGGCTGTTGTAAGTGTCCTGCTAGTGATTTCAGGACCTGGACAGGATGGTAGTACGAATGGAGAGAAGGAGCTGCAACAGAGAAAGATTCTAGTAGGTGTGACTGCACAACTCAGTAGTTAACTACAGATAAAGGAAGAATGAGCAAGAGGCAAGGATGACTGCAGGCTTCTAGTTTGGGGAACTGAGAGCAAACCACTCAACCAAGAGAGGACAAGCAGAAGGACTAGCAATTGTGATCTAACTGTGTTTTGAGAAGAGACCCTGGTAGGATGCATCATTCAAGACTGAGAATTCCATGACCGTCCTTATATGACAGCTACAGACTCCCTTGCAGGTGTCTCAAGTCCCTTTCCTTCTATAGGTTCCTTCCCTTACAGAATCATAGGAGATGAGAGCTGGGAGAAGGTTCCAGTAGCTTTTAGCCTAACACCCTCCTTGTACAGCTGGGAAGTCTAGAGACGGTAACTGACGTGTCTAAAATCCTTATTATCTTTTTAATACATTTAAGGCTGTCCTAACTTCAGATGAAAAACAACAACAAAAATCAAGCACATACATATAACCGTTCCTTTCCATCAACTTCACCACCAGTCTTCCTTCTTTAGTAGTCAAATACCCATTGCCCCATTTCCTTCCAATTCAGAATTCATTACTTAAAGTTCTGCAACGTTTTACTTCTCTACACTTTGAATGCTACTGCTCTAAAATTAACTGAGAAAGACTTTCTTGTCAAACAAAACAGCCTTTTCTCAGTCCCCACAGTTGTTCCTTGGCTTTCGGTGAGGTTTGAATACTACCTGCTACACCTCTCCTTAAATGCTTTGCTCCCTTGGTCTTTCTAACAGTGAGCTTTCCTTGGGTTTACTCCTTCATGCTCCACTTCTTCTGACTCCAATTCTAGATCTCCATGCTTCCATCATGAGCCAAACACTCTTCTCTTTTCAATCACTTACTCTGGGGTCATTCACCTCATGGTGTCCACAGTGTCTTCTGGGTTCACATCCAGATCGGACAGTAGTCCATGTGGAAAAGTTGGGCATGTGTCATAAGTGTGATGTGCCAATTCTCTTGGCCCGCATCACTAGAGGCACGGAGGCTTCTCAAAGACAAGGAATTCATGTGCTCCTGGAGGGGCTCACTGCTGGGCTGAACTACAGTTAAAAGGGACACTGACAAATGAGAGAATGTTCTGAAAAAAGCAATGGGGTTGGTAAGGGATCTAAAAACAACATGTGAAAACCGCTGAAAAGGCTAAGAATGACGAGCTTGGGAAAGACAGTGCTCTTGGGACCCAGCTTTCTGCAAATTTGTGAAAACTTGTCACGTGGGATGCAGCATAGATGTGTTTTTCTCTGTTTCAGAAAGCAGAAATTTGCAGGAGGTTGTATTTTGGCTCAACAGGAAAAAAATTTCTTGCAAATAACTCACGTTGTTCAACCCAAGAACGAGCTGTCTCTCAATGCAGTGAACTCTGCCCTTGCTGAAGGCGTTGAAGAAGAAATGCCTGCTCTGAGAGGGAGACCAGCCATATCATCTCTGAGATCTCCTTTCCTCTGACACCCTGTGAATCACTCTCCCTGTGATAGCCTGTCAGCACCACGGACTTCACATACCTGATGGGGAATTAGCCGTCCCATCCAATCCCTCAAGTCTACCATTCACGCTGTTGTTCTTCTAGATTGCTGGGTTAGATTCAACATCTTTGATTCCTTGTTCTTTTTAGGTCCCTATACCTCCACCTTCAGAATGTTTCTTTAATATACTCTTAATACTTTATTTCCATGGATACCATTACAAACCCCATGTGGAGAGAAGTCATTGGATTTTTGAGTTGGGACGGACCCTAGAGAGATCAAGCCCAGCCTGCTCATTTTATAAGTAAGGAGAATGAGACACAGAAAAATTAAAGACTTCTCTAAGGTCACATAGTCAAAAGTGGTGGTACTAGGCTCCAAGATTTGTAGTGCCATATTCTTTCCATTGCCCCATACCACAGCAGCTCTGGAATTTCTCCTTTTAATCACTCAGACCACCCTGATACATTTCGGCCTAACTGGTTTTATAGACGTTGGCCATGACTTAACCATGGAATGACTTGGTTTATTTGTTTAATACTGTCTGTTTAATGATGGTCTTTGGTCAAATCATATGTGTTAATCTAGATCTAGGAATTATCCTCAGTCTCTTAACTGTAACGGACCACTGGGTCTGCTTTGAGTTAAACAGCACTGTTCTTTTCTGGGCTTCTCACAGATACTGCCAAAGCAGGACTGCTGAATTGTGAAATAAAGAAGAATTCTAGCCAGCTCAAGCTCTCTAGAGTCTGCAAATCCAGGTCATTTGGATTTGAAACATATCATTGTACTCCAATGAGTACAAAAATTACATATATCATGTTAGCTGGCTATGCTCTGATTACTTCCCATAAAAGGTCCTGGACTCACGTTGGTTCTTCGGTTGCTATTCTGGTCTCTTCTAGTTCTTGTGCTTGTTTCAGCCAAGGTAATTTCGCTTCCACTGGACTTTTTTCTGACAAAAAGGGAACATAAACAACGAGCTTAATTATTGTTACTCATTCAAGAGTTGGATATGTGACTGTTATTTGCTGAAGATTTCATCAATTAAGAGGTCACGCTTTTCAAATGCACAGTACATGAAGTGGCTTCTGGATGGAACCAAAAATTTCTGTCATACATTTTTTTAATTAACACATTATCAAAATGCAACCAAACAACCCCATGACACAGCTGAATACATTGTCCAAGTTAGCATAAAAATGGCTTTTATAAATCAGTACCAATATCTGTTGTTTGCATATTAAAGCTCTTACTTCAACCGTTATCAATTTGTTTTCTTTTTCCACACATTTTTTTTGCCCAATGAATGAGGAAATTAATAGAGAAAAGCAAATACCATAGAAGGCTTAGAAAGTTGGGAGGAGGAGAGTCAGTGCTATGGTTTATTCAAACTTTAATTGCTATAATTGTTGAGGGAAATGATTACTAATTACCACTGGCCTGCAGGAGCAAGCTGGTGCCCCTCTCTGTCCTTTGAAGCTTCCTAAGATGTGAAGAAAGAAACAATCTAATTATGAAATGAGAAAGGAAATAATTTTGGACTACTCCAGGGAAATCACAGACACTAAGAAAGTGGCTATTAAAGTACCACTGACTGCAGAAATATGGAGAAAAGACTTCACTGAAGAAGTTATATAATCAGTGTTTGTACTTTGCATGGAAACCAGCGATTTTTCTGGAAGGCAGACATCATCAAATAAATATTTTTTGAATAGTTAGTTGCCTATAAGGCTATTTGGGTAAATAATGTACCCAGAAATAATGAAGAAGAATTTTATCATCCTCTCCAAAGTACTAAGGAAGACTCCTTGGCACTGATACTTGGGAGTAATTCTTTTTCCATTTCCAAAAGGAAATACTTGTCACGAGGACTGGTAATACCTTACTAAAGTACGTATATGGAAATAATCATGTCTAGAGAGGAACATACATCCAAAAGATGATGCCAAGACTTCCTTACCCATGGATGCTACCCATTTCTGCTAATTCATGTGGAACAAGTGGGAACTACAAAATAATTTCTAAGTGCATCTATAAATCTACATTGGGAACTGAAAGTCTTCATTCATTCATGGTAGGCAATAGGACATATGATGAAGCTGGCATTGTTCCTTCCTCAAGAAATGTACACTCTGGTGGAAGGCATGTGGGAATTTTCCTTCTCCTTTTTCTTCAAAGCAGGGACTACATCAAATTATTTTATGCCCACCAAGAAATGTTAATATAAGCCTAGACAGGAACCACTCTATATGCACTGAATCAATAAGAGCTCAGTTTCTTCTCCAGACCAATTAGTCACATAGGTCTAACTTCCTTATCTAGGTGGATGGGTCTACTGTAATCTGTCAGTAAAACAATTTTTATAAGAAAGTTAGTATGTTGAAATTCAAATGCTGCAATATTAGTAAGAGAGCTGGAAAACACCGGATTTAACTTTAAAATGCACCACAAACTTACCTTTGGGTTTGTAACACGGGATGGGAATGATACATTCTTCTTTGATGTGTAACTTCAGTTGTGGATTACAGCCACCAACGTGCTGTCCACGATGGTTGATACACAGAACAACGCGGTAACGTAACCCCCGGCCACAAGTCACTGTGCACTTCAAAGATGAAAAGAGAAGCCAATGAAATTCTTGTTCATGAAGAGATCCACAAAGGTACTAAGGTCTCATGCACAGGAGAGTCACTAATCTACATGAATGTTAAACACAAAAGACCGTTAGATAAACATTATATAAGGAAGGGGGTGGAGGCTGATTTCCCATGATTCTTATGCTTCAGGGCCCCTCCCTTGCAAGGCTTCCTTCCCATTCTCCATTCGAGAAGTACTTCAGGTGAGGTCACAGTGCAAGAAAAATTGAAATGCCCTGAAATCTTTCTACGCAAATATGAAAGAAACTTAATACAGGTTTTCTCAAATTTGATTAAACATTCACATGACATCATCCAAAACAATTTGTGAAGACAAAAGAAACTTTTCTAAACTATTAATTTAAAAAAATATCAAATTTTGCTCAACCATGCTAGAGGATTATCCTTCTATTCTGTGTATAGAAACTGATCTTCCAAAATTGTTGTCATATGAAAGGGCCATCGAAGAGTATTCAGCCAAAAAGTTTAGGAAAAATATATTCTAGATGTATCAGGCATTTAAAATTAATAAAAACATGATGCTATTTTCTCTGAGTTTTTATGAACTTTGTGTTGTCAGGATTTTTTTTTTCTTGAATTATTTGTTTATGATTTGGAAGGTACTCTTGTCTATGAATGGAATCTTTTCATGTCATGAACATCCAGGATCTGTTTTCAATTGATGTACATTATGTTGGTGAGCATATATGTATGTATATGTGTGTGTAGTTTTTTTTTTAAATCAAGACTTTATTTTTTAGGACTATTTAAGGTTTATAGAAAAATTGAGCAGATAGTACAGAGAGTTCCCATATGCCCCCTTTCTGCTACATACAGTTTTCCCTATTGTTAATATCTTGCATTAGTGTGGTACCTTTGCTACAACTGAAAAACCAATACTGATACATTATTATTAACTAAAGTCCAGAGTTCACATTAGGGTTGTCAGCTTAAAAAAATTTGTAATTTCTTACAATTTCTTTCATTATTGTACATAAACATTTACTTAGATACCCAATATTTGTGTTTTGTATTCTTTCTTCTTAAAAAGTCACCTCCTTGGTAGGGGAGGGATGGATTGGGAGTTTGGGATTAGCAGATGTAAACTATTATACATAGAATGGATAAACAACAAGGTCCTACTGGGTAGCACATGGAACTATATTTAATATCCTGTGACAAACCATAATGGGTAAGAATATGAAAAAGAATGTATTTTATATATATATATATCTGAAACACTTTGCTATACAGCAGAAATTAACTCAACATTGTAAATCAACTATACTTGAATAAAACAGATTTTTTAAAGTTATTTCCATATGGTATAAACTTCAGGCCCCAATCCTGGATCCACCCCTGGGAGAGGTCAAGAAGCCTTGGGCATGTGCTAGAGAACACACACTGTTCTGCAGATGTGATCTCACTAACCATCCTGACACACTGGCAGGTTAGCAGCTTCACTCCCATTTAACAGATGAGCAAATGAACAGCCCACCACCTAAGGACCTTGCTCAAGGTCATGCAGTTCCTAAGAGGCAGAGTGGAAATCCTTCCTAGAGCCTCCTGTTGTCAAAATAATGACTTCACCGCTGCTTCATAAAGCTTAAAGATTCTTTCCTGAGTCCGTGGGTGCTTCTTCAATTGTCACAGATGAGTTGCAGAGGATATGGAGGCCTTTTTCAGCATAGACCCATCTCCAAGAAGAGCAGCATAGCAGGAAACCTCTCTTATTCCCTCATGCCACTCTTATGACCACTGAACAAATACTGAATGAATTTAGTGAGGTTTGAGATTATATCTGACGTCTGGGAAACTGATTCACCTACCCCCACATTCACCTATTTGAAATATATGTGATCTTAAGAGGCTATTTTATATTGGCCAAGAAAGAAAAAAAATTCTGCCCCAAAGAGAAAGAAAACAGTATGATTATAAGGTATAACTACCCTAGAACTGGTCAATCCAAAGGAATATTATTTCCTCAGTAGCTTCTCAGGAAGCTGGACACTTACCCCAATGATGTGGTCAGTGTTTACGACATTCCCAGAACTCCTCTTTCAAGCTGAATACAACCTTAATGATAGCAAATTCTCATCACTGAGAATGTGTCTGATTTTTAAAAAGTGGAAAGTACGAAGAGGCAAGAAGGATGAATGAGATGCGTTGGTTAACAGTCCTTCATTTGGGTATTGTAAGTGACAATAAAGTCATGATATAGATGGGGTGAGGGTGGTAATAAAAGCTCTAAAGACAGCACAAAACAAATGGGTAAGACCTGTAAGAGTGGAAAACAAGCTCTGCGGGTTGTAGAAGTAATGTTGATTTTTGAGGAGAGATCACAATATGATTTTTGGCATATAACTCGAGTTCAAAGAACCGAACGACCTTGCCACAATAAAATCCTTCCATCTCAGTCTACTGACTTATGTGAACAAGGCTTCCCAGTGTGTACGTGCAAAACAAACTAAAACAAGAAATCAACAGTTAAAATTAAGAATAAAATTACTGCTGATCCCATGTTTCATTCCGGCAATGGACTATTTTTTAAAGCCCCACTCACCTTCTCGGAAGACTCATTTCAAAGGAAAGTTTACTTTTTATGTATAATAATCATTCATGAGAAATCGAAATATATTTAATTGTTATTTTGGTTGTGTACTAAAATTAAATTTAATAATAACTTAATCCGGGGAACATTTCTAATACTTAAAGCCTTACGGCTATCGGAAATTAAAATAAATTACTTTCAACGGCTACATGTATTTTCTTAGAGAAAAGTAGTATAGGGTAACCAATAAACGACTTTAAAGCATAAAAGTACATTATATTAGGATAAATTCTGTGGGGGGGAGTGGTTTAAAAATGTGAGTTCAAGGGGAAATAATGCAAAACATTCAAATTATTCAAGAGCTTGTTCATATGTTTTTTAAAAATGGAAGATGGCACATGGCATTTACATTCTACTGGACATATTTTTTTTAATGCTATAACACTTTTATTTTAAAATGTCAGCCTTCAAGACGTGTTAGAAATGACATTCTTCGATTTTTTTAAATTTAAACTTGTGATAAAAATTTTAGATGTCAACCTAAATATATTATGAAGGGGTATGTAATTTTCCAAACTTCTTTTGGTATGTGAACAAAAAAGGATGGATAACTACCGCCCTACTAAGTACAAATGAAGCAGTAGGGGGTGATGATTTTGAGCCAGGGATATCAGAAAAGGACTGTGATGAGATAGCATCTGTAAACTGGGGCTGGAAGCGGGCCTTTCACCCAGAAAACTCACTTATCTCTACTCTTCAAGTTTCAGTTCAAGTGCTTCCTCCTTTCGGAAACCTGCTCTGACACCTTCAAGTAGAGTGAATCACCCCACCTCTGTGTGCCGGCCATACAGGACATCATACAGCTCACTGCAGCGTCACACTGCGTCACAACTGTTCATTTGCATATATGGTTTCTGCAACTGGATTATGAGCTTTTGGGGGGGGGGTAGAAGCAGGTTTTATTTACTCCCTAGGATGGCAGCTGGCACACTCAATAAATAAATAGATAAATGCATGTGTGTGTTGAACTAAATATGTAGGGATCACGCAAAAGAGCTAAAGAAACATGAGTCAATTATGTCTCACCCTCTAGCAAATTAAAAGTTTAAGCTTAAAATATTAAATACCAATACCTGCAATTTTTTGACTAATCCAACTACACTTTATTTGCTCTAGAGGTTTACTTGCTCATCTCCCTAGAGAGGAAACTAAGCTAACCTAACACGAGGCCTTGTTATATCTCTGTGATGTTGCCCTTTTCTCTTTTCTCACCACCTGACACCTCAATGGCTTCCAAATAGACTGCCTGCCTCTGGTCCTTCCCAGCATCAGTCTATTGCCTCAATTACTTAAAATATATTACATTTATTTTCCTCAACAAAAATAGCGAAGCTTCTTAGTAACCACCAGACTAAGAACATACCTCTAATGTCAGTTTTATCATCTCCATCTGAATTTTCCAATTCTTTTTTTTTTTTTAATTTACTTTTGGCCGCATTGGGTCTTGGTTGCTGTGCGCAGGCTTTCTCTAGTTGCGGCAAGCAGGGGCTACTCTTCGTTGCAGTGTGCGGGCTTCTCATTGCAGTGGCTTCTCTTGTCGTGGCTCCCGGGCTCTAGAGCGCAGGTTCAGTAGTTGTGGCACACGGGCTTAGTTGCTCCACGGCATGTGGGATCTTCCCAGACCAGGGATCGAACCCGTGTGCCCTGCATTGGCAGGCGGATTCTTAATCACCATGCAACCAGGGAAGCCCCAATCTTCCAATTCTTAGTCACGTGGGTTCTCTCTTTAATCCAGATCAATTAGGGCCTTTTTCAACATCTAGTCATTCTGTGTCATTTCTGCCTTTGCTCAGCCGTTTCGGCTTGGCCCTACCTCACAGTGATGTCTTCACTAGGCTCTCGTTTGGTTAAATCTTAAAGATGGGTCAAGCACTACAAGGGCAACAAAGACTTCCCGATCAACTCTGCTCCAATGCCTGTTCCGTTCAGATGTACCATGGTTCTTAATTAATTGTTCTTACCTGCGTTGATGCCTGCAATGTTCTCTCTTACACTGTCCTCCAACTGGCTCTTCCCAAGCTCTTTGGGAGTAGGAACCCCGTTCATATACAACTTCTGCCTCCCCCAAGTTGCCCAGTACAGTGTTGGGAGCATAGCAAATAATCATTAAAATCTGAGATTGAATTAAAAAGTGGCGTGTACTCGGGACTTCCCCAGTGGCACAGTGGTTAAGAATCCACCTGCCAATGCAGGGGACACAGGCTCGAGCCCTGGTCGGGGAAGATCCCACATGCCGCGGAGCAACTAAGCCCGTGCGCCACAACCACTGAGCCTGCACTCTGGAACCCCGCGCCTAGAGCCCGTGTTCCGCAACAAGAGAAGCCACTGCAATGAGAAGCCCACGCACCGCAACAAAGGGTAGCCCCCGCTTGCTGCAACTAGAGAAAGCCCGCACACAGCAACCAAGACCCAATGCAGCCTAAAATTAACTAATTTCTAAAAAAAGTGGCGTGTACTCAAATCTTACCTGAGACCACTCCATGGCAATCCACTTGGGACAGTCGAACAGATTGCAGGTTTGCATAACCTTGGGTTTAGGCGCATACATGCACTTCCACTCTTCCACTTGCAGTATCTCTCCATGCATGGACTCCTCCACACACACGAAGCTCCGTCTTTGAATCCCACCTCCACAGGACACCGAACACGCAGTCCAAGGATTATGTTCCCAGCTCAAAAGCAAACAAACGAAAACACATTATTTATTTGTTGCTTGTTTCAAGTTTGCAAAGTTGATTGCAAAAAGTACAGCCTTGGGATAACAGTTGTGGTTCAGTTGAAAGAGCACAGAATTGGAACCTTAAGACTTTAATCTTAACTGCTACACACAATCTGCAGTCCCAAGGTACTTAACTCCTCTGACCCGAAGGTTATTGTCAAATGGGAGTAAGACACCTGCCCTCATGTATTACCACAACAGGGCCATTGTGAGAATCAAATAAATTAAACTATAGAGTGTGAACGCATCTTCAAACAGTCTCTAAACTATAAAACACCAATGGACAACATTACTAGGGAATCACAGAATCTCAAAGTCGGAAAGAACCATCCTAGTCATCTAGGTATAAAAGGGAATGCAGATTTCTGATCAATTGCAATGCTTGAGGTCCCTCTATAATACCCAGTTATCAAGATACGCTTGACATCTCCAGTGACAGAAAACATCACCCTCTGAGCCAGCCTATTCCATATAATTCTTAGAAAGATCTTTCTTATTATGGACTTGAAGTCTGTGTTCCCTTATCTCTCTGTGAAAGGTCTAATAACTGTCCCTCTTACATTTTAGTCTATTGCTACAGATACTACAGTTCCTTGCAAATTACTTAGAGCATATGACAGAAAGAAAAAGGAAACCTGTAACTCACCGAGGGAGAGGTTGGAAGTGGTCATAGGGCATGATCTCTTTAAATCCATCACTACAAATGAAATCATTGTGAGAATACAATTTCTAATCAATTAACGCATTTATTAATTTGACTAGTACAGGTGTGACATCCCAAAAGACAGAGCTCTTTCAAATTAAAAACTAAATATGCCGAATGTTATGAACCATTTCCCCCCAAATTCAGCCACAATCTCCTTAATTTTTAGGAAAATCTCTGACACACAACATCCCCAATTCTATATGAAAATGTAGACAATGGAACTAGTAATATGTATTCATCAAAGGAAAGAGTTTCTCTTAATTTAGATAAATCTATTTATTCCCTTTTATCATCTTAGCAGGTTAGTCTGATAAAATATATTAATGACAGTAACACACTGTCATATTAGCAGGATCTTTAGAAAACCATTTTGTTTCACAGAATTTGCCTTTTGAAAAGGCCTCTATTAATAATTACATACACCTGGGATTACCGGACATGCACTGCTTCGTGATAGGAAATGAAATCCACTGAGAATGCTTCCTTTTCCACTTGCACACTTCTGCCTTAGCCAGCTGGCAGATAAGTGGGGGATTCTGGGACTTGACAGTATGCTGTTATTTTAAGATACTGTAGTAAAGCCAGGAAACTTCCCCAGACAATCCAAGTCATCAGGTACTAAATTATGCAGCAGGATAGTTTATGCATAGCTTTACTGCTCTGGCATTAAAACTCTTCACTTCCTTGTACCATGCATTATTTATACTGAACTTAATGTGTACACTTCAAAAGTCAAAACGTGGTGATCGGTGACCCAGTTTAAAAAGCTAAAATGGTGAGTTACTGATATTTACGGCGTTCGGATGGACTAGACACTGTACTTGGATGAAGAGAACGTTCATGCTGTATGTGCAGGAGATGCTCAAAGAGGTTCATTATAAACAGTCAAAGATCACAGCACATGGACACATAGCCCGCAAGAGAGAACTAGACTGAGTAAGCTGATGAGCCTAATTCCTACTGACCACGGTGATAAATGTGAAGACAGGTACCCGCCACCAGTGTACGTTCAAGGTCACGCCGTGGCAATGTGTTGCCTGGCAACGGTGGGTCAGTCCCAGCTGCAGTTGATTTGTTTCTTTTTAAAGGAAGAAGGGTATGGGCAGTTATGCAAACCTTGATGGGCAAGGATCCATGCTGCACTCCTTCAGTTTTGGTTTTGGTTTCACATTCTCAGGGTAGTAATGGCAATAATGGTCAGGAACCACCCTCTTCAACCGGATATCCACACATTCAGCAGAATTGAGCTGATACCCTAAAGCAGCAGAACAAGAAAGTCTGAAGATCGCATCCATTCGGGGTTTACTTGGCAAAGTTATCACTTGGCACACACTTTTTTATTCCTCTTTAAGAAACTTAACTCAGTGGTTCTCAACTCTGGGCGTATAACAGAACCACTTGGGAGGCTTTTATTACACCAACGCCCAGGTCCCTTCCTGGTCCAATTAAATCAGAAGCACTGCAGCCAAGAAATCAGCATTTCCACTGGTCAAAGTGGAAGGAGCGGGTGCTTTCTGTTGCCATGATTGCGTTGAGACCAAAGAAATAAAGTTGTTCCTTTATTCCCAGGCTGCGGGGTAGTAGAAGCAGCAGATCCCCACCGCTTAATCCCAAGGGGGCGTAAGGCTCTTTAGCCAAAGCACCTATGGAGAGCTAACAATTGGACTGAGTGCTATTTTCAGTTTCCCGAACTACTTTAGGTTTAGAGTTGTTGTGGGGAGCGAATAAGATCACGTGCGTCAAAGCTTTGTTCAAAATGTAAATCTCTAGACAGATGCTAGGTGATATGGTGCAGCAGCAGCAGCAAAAAAAAAGACTTTTTAAAAAAGACTCTCAGGTTCTTCTAAGATGACTAACATGTGTGGCCAAGATGGAGAATGACTACTTGAACTGATTGTGTGACTCTTAGCACTTATAACTAAAAGTTACAATAGACGCCTCTGAAAATGTTTGGAGCTCAGGTACAGAAGGTAGTTAGTTATTCATTGTCACGTCTCCTCATCCTGGCACTGTGCAAGGCTCTCTTGTTTCCGTATACTTTCTCTTCTCCCATCACCACTCCCATTACAATCCCCCAGAGACATCTATTTATTGTTTATATGTCCTTAACTATACATCTGTCTTCTGTAATTTTGTTTTGTGTGTATCTGTTTTGACTAAATTAATGATACTGTGTTTTAAGTCCTGTTCTGTTTTCTACTTTTCTCACGCAACATTACATTTCGGAGAACTACCCTTGTACTGTTGCTTCTTTCTTTTTTATAATATGCCACTGCTTGTACATTTTACTAATTTCCTGTCCTGGGGTACCTAGGGGTACCTCTGATGACAATGAACTTTCTAACTGGGAAAATAAGCATTGTCTATACAGAGAGGAACAAAACCCTCCCCGCCTACATCTGCCTCTGCCTCATAAGCCTTCAAAGAAGAAGGAATGAAGACTTATTCCTGATTCTATTAAATTCAATTTGTACAGTCTCTGAGGAGAGTGAACATTCCACAAGGATGAGTGCTATAAACTTAAAAAACAACTCACAAAATGATGCTTCTAACTTCCTGAAAGATTTGATTCCAGGTTTCCTGTCACTACATAAGCGTCATGTTAAGTTTTTAAAAAAGTAATTTTTCAAAACCAGAATGAGCTCTTCACCAAAAAAAACACCCACAAAAAAAACAAACAAAAAAAACCCCGAAGTTAAGTTCTCAGTCTCAGCCAACTGGTCTAAAGTTCTAAAAATACATTTAAAGGCCCAATTGCTGAGAGGAATCTGATTTTATAAACCAATAGACAGCTTTCTACAAGTCGAGGCTTAAATGTAAGCTGAGTGTGGAAGGACAGACTGGTATGCATTATAAAAAGCAAGGTCAAAACCACAGGAACGAAAATCCAAATGGAGTCAATAAAGTATTACTTGGGTGCCAATATCTGCTAGAAAGTCTGCAATATCAGATGACAGTGGCAATCTCGGTACTTTCTCCAAACTAATCTCAAGTATCCCACATAGATGATTGCAGACAAGACCAGGAAAGTCCATCCAAATACCTTGGAGACCAGCGAGCTAATTTTCCTGATTACACCAAAAACCCTGAAATGCCACTTAACACAAATCATGTAGATTTGATTACTAACATAATTGAATTTTGGTAATGCTTTCCTTGTGGGTTTTACGGGTATGTTTTTATTTTTCCCCAAGACAATAAGAGAATGAGATTACAGTTCCTTGAGTTAAAGAAAAAAATCTTTGCTCTAAATGGAAACATATTTCTAGGAGGAGACAAGGAGCATACAGGTGTTTATAATTTGGGGAAAGACAATTAATTTTCCTCTTTAATTTTGTAGCAGTACAGAGATATCTAAAAGAGAAAGAAATAAGGCAGACTGCCTTCCTACATTATGAACAAATGTATTGAAATTCTGCCAGTGTATAGAAAGTGGCAGGATATTGGGCCAACGCTATCTTTGGTGGACAGTCACACAGCCAGGAGCTTCCATTGAAGGTTCCAGCAGGACTGATCGTGTCTTTCCTTGGGCACCAGCTACGAGAAACATCTATTCTCCTCCCAAGAACTGAACCAACTGAACTAATAAGCTTAGTCCCATTATACATGTCCCTCCCAGAACGGAAAGCTTCTCTTTTAACTTAGGTGTCCAAATGAGAACGTCTCTCTGTGTGTGAGAGCTAGGGAATAAATTAAAAAGAAAGAGGTATTTGTTTTTCTGATGGGTAAGAATTAAAAATCCCCCCTATCTCTTGGCTTTTATTCTGGAGTCCATGAGAGACATGCAAACATGTTTCCAGCTCTTTGCCCAAAGTAAAGGGTGTTTTCTACATCCAGTTTTCACCTATGTTCAAGAATAAAGCAAACGCACATTCATTAAAACCACTGCATTCCAGGCCACTGAGTAAGATGCTGTGTGGTTACATATCTCTAATTACCATGCTACTTTTTTTTTAACATCTTTATTGGAGTATAATTGCTTTACAACGTTGTGTTAGTTTCTTCTGGATAACAAAGTGAGTCAGCTACACATAGACATATATCCCCATATCCCCTCCCTCTGGCGTCTCCCTCCCTCCCACCCTCCCCCTACCCCACCCCTCTAGGTGGTCACAAAGCACCGAGCTGATCTCCCTGTGCTACGTGGCTGCTTCCCACTAGCTATCTATTTTACATTTGGTAGTACCACGCTAACTTTAAAGTCAGCTTCAAAAAAGCAAACGTGTCATTTCTAACTCTGAGCTCTAAATATTCATGAACAAAGTCTGTGCCTCACCTCCTCCACATGTCACAGTGCAGGGAAAGAAGTCAGTTTGTCTCCACTGATGACTGATTGGCTGGTAAAAGAAGAACTGGACCACGCTGTCCTTGGCCGCAGTGTACCTGGTCTGGACGGAGACAACTTTGATAACATATTCGCATGCAAGGAGCTAGTGCCTTCCACATCTTTCAACATCAGGTGAACACAAGTCACCTACGTAGACAAACACATCTATCACAATAAACTCTGGTGCATGAAGATTCCCAGAATTTTAAGATGTGACAGCATTTCGATTAGATTTCTCATAAATGGGATCTCAGAGGATCTTTGACCAATCTCCTTGGAGTCATTTTTCCAGATAATTCTATGCCTATGAATGAGTTCACAAAAATGTAGGTCCATTTTTAGTTTATTTATTTTTTATTTTTCTTCCCAATACATTTGATTTTAATTTCCATGAGAACAGGAGATGAGACAGGAAATGTAATCTGGGTTTGCTTACAACATGGCACAAACTGCGATTCTTACATTTATAATAACAACATCTTTAAGCATCTTTAAGCAGATCCTTCTGAAAAATCCTGCTGAAAGCACAACTATAGAAACTCAAATGTACACAAATCCATGGTGTTTGCATAGAAGCCTTTCAGTATCTAATTAAAATAGAGGAGGGGTACCACTGAGAGTGAGCAAGCAGTTATAGACAGAGGTAAGTTTACTTTCAGGTTATTTTACTCAGGCAGCAAGTCCTCTCCCTACGTTTTTTTTCCTTCCCTCCTGATTGAACAAATGAGTGAATTGAGGAAAAGTCCCAGAACACAACACAAAAAGAAAAAGAGAGGGAAAACAAAGGTTAAGCTGTGGGAGATAGATCCAGAAATGCCAGCATCACATGGAGTTCAAGAGAAAGAATAGAAAAAATAATGAAAAGGTGATATTTGATTGCATCACTGTTGAGAATTTCCTAGACCTTAAGAAAAACAGAAGTACTCAGTCTAAAAATATTCATAAAGTTCTGAGCAGACATTGTAAAAAATACAACAACAAGGATAAAGAGAAATTCTGAAAGTTATCAGAAAGAAAAAAAATGATTCCCTACAAAGGAGTGAGAATCAGAATGGCATCAGACTTCTCACAGACAATAATGGATGCAAGAAAAGAAAAGCATACCTTCAAAGTGATGAGGGACAATAGTTTTTTAATCTAGAATTCTACAACCAAATTATTCATTGCTAATCAACTGTCAACTTATAAACAATCTATGATCAAATTATCAATCAGTAATCAGTGAAATAAAGTTTTTCTCAGACACAAAATGACAGAAACTTTATCACTCAGAAGCTCTCACTAGGAAAAAGAAAAAACTATGAAAGGATATACTGAAAAAGAAGTAATATAAATCCACAAGAAAGTAGTGAGATGCAAGAAGCAGTAATGGTGAAATAAATCAGTAAAACTTATTAGGAAATCTAAATAAGGGTTGACCAAAAAAGAAAACTTTGATGTATTTAATTATAAAATAGTAAAAAGAAATTGTAAAATTATAAAATGGTGAAAAATTCCAGACAGGAGATGTGTGTGGAGGGAGGGAGGGGCAGGGTTACAGTGATGGGATGAGGATAGCACAGAAAAGACTTCTAAGTAGTTCTGCTTCTGGCTATGGAAGAACGGGTTTGTTTCTGATGAATCCTCCCACTGAGAATAAGTAAAAGTGCTGCATAGAATACTTTTTAATGTACTTGAAGGCATCAGAAAACAACCGTAGTAGTGAGGATGTGCAAGGCCAATATCCCAGACACAAAGGAAGCCCAGACATGTGAGCATGACATTTGGTACCACCTTTGGTACCACCTTTCTGCTCAAGACATTTTCCATTTTACAAGTGGTAACTGAGCAGCTGAGAAGCTGAGCAGGCCTGTCAGACTCAAGTGGCTGAGGCAGCAAAACCTGGAGCTCCAGGCCCACCAAGGTGAGGAGTGTTGGTAAACAGCCCAGGCTCCCAGCTGGGACCCCAGAAAGCTGTATCCTAGGAATAAGAGTAGACTGGAAAGGACTTCCCTGGTGGCGCAGCGGTTAAGAATCTGCCTGCCAATGCAGGAGACACGGGTTCAAGCCCTGGTCTGGGAAGATCCCATTTGCCACAGCAACTAAGCCTGTACACCATAACTACTGAGCCTGTGCTCTAGAGCCCATGAGCCGCAACTACTGAGCCCGTGCACCACAACTACTGAAGCCCACGTGCTCTACGGCCCATGTGCAGCAACTACTGGGCCCACATGCTGCAACTACTGAAGCCTGCATGCCTAGAGCCTGTGCTCTGCCACAAGATAAGCTACTGCAGTGAGAAGCCCGCACACTGCAACAAAGAGTAGCCCCCACTCACCACAACTAGAGAAAGGCTGCGTGCGGCAAAGAAGACCCAATGCAGCCAAAAAAATATACTGGAAATATTCCAGTTTTCAAAGGGAATGATGCCCAGATTCAAATTATTTCAGTCCCTTGGATGAAGGTGATTAGCTGCTAATCTGTCTTCTAGAAGCAATAATTAATCCAGTCTCAAATGGTATCTATAATCTTTCCTCTACTATATGCAGCAAAACTTTAACCCTAGATATACAACAAAGATAAAATTTAACACCAACTGAAAAGGTGGGAAAATAGATATATAATCAGAAAAATAGGAAATCCAGATATGGGCATTAACTGATAGAAACTTAAAAGTGTAAGTATACCACTACCATTTCCTGTAACTCTGGCCTTGGCTTCATGTCTTATTTCCCGGCTTGAGGGCCTAGCAACACCTCATTCTATTCCCATGGTCAAAAATCATGTGTTAGCACATAGCTTTCGCCTCAGGCTCTGTTTTTAAGAAAACTTAGACAAAGATACTGTGACTAAAATGTTCAAGAAATTAAATGACAAGATGGAGAATTTCACCAGAAACAAAGAAACTATAACAAAAATAAAATGTGATTGTACAAATAAAAAGCAAAATAATTTAAATAAATCTCTCAATGAATAGACTTAGTAGACTAGACTGGGGTTCATCAAATATTATCTTAAAGAACCAGATAGTAAAAGTGAGTTTTCAGGCCACGTTATCTCAGTTGCAATTATTCAACTCTGCTGGTGTGGTGCAAAAGCAGCCACAAGTAATATATAAATAAATGAGGGTAGCTGTAAACTCCATTTACAAAGACAGTTGGTCAGCTTGCTGGGCATAATCTGCTGACTTCTGGATTATATACACCTATTCAGAGAATTAGCAAACTGACAGATAAAAAGAAAATGGAAATTAGACATTTGAGATAAAGGTATAATTGTAGTCCCAGAAAAAGAGAATAAGATAGAAGCTATATCTGAAGAGGTCATAAATGAGAAAATCTTCCAAAACTGATGACGGATATCAAGCTACAGATCCATGAAGCACCAGGAACCTCAAGCAGAAGAAAGTTATTAATTATATCAGAGTCAAACTGATGAAAACCAAAAACAAAGAGAAAACACTTGAAAGCAGGCAAAGAAAAAAGACACATTACCTTCTAAGGAACAAAAATAAGACTAAAAGCTGAATTCTCAACAGAATAAATGGAAGCCAGAAGACAATGAAGTAATATCTTCAAAGTGCTGAAAGAAAATATTTCACAATGATAAAGAGGTCAAGTCATTAGAAGAGGTAATGATTCTAAATGTGAGTGTACCTAACCACCTAACCTCAAAATATATAATTCAACAATTGACAAGAAACAGAAAAAGTATAGACAAATGCACAGTCATAGTGGTAGTTTTACCAGGTCTCTTGTGGTAACTAACAGAATAAGCAGACAAAAATCAGTAAGGCTATAATTTTGCATGAAACCATTAATAAATATGACCTAATTGACATATGTAGAACATTGTGCTCAACATCAGAAGACTACATATCATAGTCTTCCAAAATCTGCTACATTCTGAGCCACAAATTAAGTTTTAACAAATTTCAAAACATTAAAATAATATAATGTTATTTGACTATAGTAGAATTAAGGTATAAAATGATGAGATTACTTGAAAATTCCCACATACTTGGATGCTACACTTCTAATATTCTATAAGTCACTATATCACTATATCATATATATCACTATGGAAATTACAATACCACTTAACTGAATGATGAAGAAAAAGACTTCATATCAAACTCTGTGGAAAAAAATCTAAAGCATACTTTGAGAGAAATTTACAGAGTTAAAAGCATATGTTATGGAAAAATTGGATGAAAATCACTGGTCTAAACAGCCATCCCCAAAAGTTAGAAAAGGACTTCCCTGGTGGTGCAGTGGTTAAGAATCCACCTGCCAAGGCAGGGGATTGGCATTGGCAATGCCAATGTTCGATCGCTGGTCCAGGCAGATCCCACATGCCACGGAGCAACTAAGCCCATGCGCCACAACTACTGAGCGTGCACTCTAGAGCCTGCAAGCCACAACTACTGAGCCTGCCTGCCACAACTACTGAAGCATGTGCACCTAGAGCCCATGCTTCGCCACCGAAGCCCAGAGAAGCCACCGCAATGAGAAGCCCACGCACTGCAACAAAGAGTAGCCCCCACTCGCCACAACTAGAGAAAGCCTGGGTGCAGCAATGAAGACCCCATGCAGCCAAAAATAAATAAGTAAATAAATTTATATAAAAAAAGGTTAGAAGAAGAATAACATATTGAATCTGGAGAAAGTAGAGAGATGGTAACAATAAAGATAAGAGCAAACATTAATGATATGAGAATGAAACTACTTTAAAGTGGTTTATAAAGCCAAAGGGTATTTCTGTGAAGTCTCATAAAATTGATAGACCTCCAACATGACTGATTAAGGAAAAAAAAGAGTAGGGACAAATAATCAAAATTAGGAATGAGAAAGAAGACTTGCTACAGATTCTCCACACAATGAAGAAATAAGACAATACCATAAAAAATCTATGCCAATAACTTTCAAAAAGCTAGTTGAAATAGACAAATTCCTTGAAACAAAACTGACACATAAGGGAATAAAACATCTGATTAGTCAAGTAATAGCAATCTCACACAAACTGTTACAGAAAATAAGAACAGAGGAGATACTTCTCAATTTGTTTTATAAACCTAGTGTA